CTTTTAGGCGTCAGTTAAACATAAAACCAATCTCACTGCAACTCAAGGGGTGCAGCCTACAGAGTATAGGATTTGAGGTTGGAAAGTGCTACCATTGCTATTTAGTAGTCAAATGGACCTTGGAGAGGACTCACTCTTCTGAATTCCATTTTCCCAACTTTCCACATGAGAGTAATACTACTGATCCACACTTAGCAGTGTTTTTTTTACAAGGGCCTGATAAGACCTTTACATTGACCCCTACCTTTAGGAGAACATCACTTATCTGCAGTAGCCCTTTACTTTCATTCATGTAATAATGTATTTACTACAGTACCAAACAAAGCTGTAAGTGCCAAGGGTATAACAGTGAAAAAGAGAATGTTCCTGATCTCAAGGAATTTGGGGCTCAGTCAACAAATTCATGATTGGGATAAGTTCAGGAAGTGATAAAAACTCAAGTCAGTAAATTGGGATCTTGAAAGAGCCTATAGAAAAGAATGGGGGTGGTGCTTCACATGGAATTGTGAGCACGATACTTATGATTTAGATCTAAAGTATTCCTCCAATATATTCAGAGGTGTGACTTTTGTAAGGAAGTTGGATCACTGAGGCACTACACTCATCAGTGGGTTGATCCATTGATTAGTTCCCAGCTGAATGTGCTGTTAGGAGGAGGGAACTTAGTTGGAATTAGTGGGTGGGATGACATAATAGGGTATGTACTTGTTTCCAACTTCTCCCTTCCCTGTCTCTCTGCTACCTGGCTGTCATGAGTTGCACAATTATCCTCCAACAAGCCCTTCTGCCACACTGTTTCTCCTTAAGAGTCAGCTAACCATGGACTGACTCCTTGGAAACCATAAGCCAAATTAAAACTCTCCTCCTTTTGTTTTTTTTTTTTTGGTTTTTTTTTTTTTTTTTTTTTGGTTTTTCTCCGGTACCAGGAACTGAACTCATCTCCTCCTTTAAATTGCAGGTCTCATGTATTTTGTCCCAGGGATGGGAAAGTGACTAATATACTACCTTAGTCTGAAAGTGCAGCACTGCATGAACACAATAGATTGAAGCCCATGGCTTTTTTGATTCTGTTCTTGAGATTAAGAGATCCCTGAAGAATGGTATAGACATTTCTTATTTATTTGTGTATCTATGAATTTCATATAGGGACCAGTCCATTGGAGGGTCTCAAAAATTGGTTTTGTAAATAGAAAGATGAAAATTTCTCCTAAATTATTACTCTTTCATTTAATTTTTGCATCATTATCAGGAAAACAAAGCTAGGTGGATGTGTCCCATGCCCAATGGTCAAAGCTGAAGGAAGTAAAGTCAGAATTTGACTCCAGGGTGTGTATTCTTGTAATAAAATGTTTATCATTTGTAAAAAGAAGAGGTCTGGGGTCTGGCAAGTGCAAGGTCCTGAGTTCAATTCCCAGTACCAAAAAAAGTCTATAAAAAGAGGGCTTTAATAGCTAAGGTGACTGAGTGCCTCAGCTACTATACTTTTAACTCTTTTATTTTTGAAACTTTGCAGTCAAGCATTTTCGGTAGAAAATTACAATACATATAGCATATAAATAATAAAATAAATATTATTCATAATTTTATTTTGTAATTTTATGACAACTCTGTTTTTTTTCATAGTTAAGAAAGACAATTATTTTTCTATATATTTACTGACTATAACAATTGAAATAGTTCAGGAAAATTTGAAAAAGTGAAAAGAATGGTCTGTTTTTCTTTGGTACCTTATCAGAACTCACAGGAGCCACAAAATCTGATTCCTACCCGTTTTTCAAACAGCAGCTCATTGTACTTTCCTCTTTGTTATACTCCAGCTTCTTAGTCTTCTCTCCATTACCAGAGTATCTCCTGCCTCAGGACTTCTGCACTTCTTGCTTCTGCCTTAAAAGATCATCCCGAGCATCCCTCTTCTCTTCATATCTCATGTCAAAAATAACTCTTCCCCATGAAAGTCCAGCTGGAGTCCCATAACCTGAGAGAACGCTCTCCTACAGCACACCAATCACCCTCTATCAGGGTTTCTTTCTTATATTTCCCTCCTAGCATTTGTCCTTGTGTAAAGTTATCTTGCATATCTATATCTCTATCACCACCCTTCCCTGAACTGAAATATAAACTGCACAATAGCAGATGACTCATTCAACTGTTTGTACTCTACCCTTACTCTTTAGGATACTGTCTGGGGTTAAATTGAGCTCAATAAATATGTAAGTAAATGTAAATGATACTCCTTTCATGTAGAGGTAGTTGCTACAAGCATATGTCTATCCTTTCAGGCTGTTTTCCTTGTGTATACAGGTGCTTTATATATGTGAATATATAGTGTACAAGTATATAAACATACTCACAAATGGAACTAAACTTGTAATTTTTAAAAGAGTTCTTGAATCAACAATATATGGTAAGTGTATTTCCATGCAAAAATATATCAATACACAATAATTTTTAGGGATTAAATGGTATTTTATTATATGATTCCATCATAATTCATTTAATCAACCTAATGATAGGCATGTGAGCTATTTCATTTTATTCTTACTATTGAGTGACACCTGCTACAGTTTGGATCTGAGTGTGCCCCCAAAGACTACATATGTGATGTTCCTGGGAGGTGGTAGGACCTGTAGGACGTGGGGTCTTGTTGGAGGAAGTGAGGTCACTGGGCCATGACCTTGAAGGAGTTATGTGACCCTGGCTCCTTTTCCTCTCTCTTTGCTTCCTGACTGTTCTGAACTGAACATCCCATCTCTGCCACATATCCCTGCTATGAAGCACTGTGCTGTCACAAGCCCAAAGTAACAGGGCCAAGTAACCATGGACTGAAACCTCTGAAACTATGAGCTAAAGTAAACCTTCATGTCTTTAAATTGCTTGTCTTGGCTGTTGTGTCACAATAACGGAAAGCTGACAAACACAGTACTTATAATACTAGGGAATATATTCAATTTCTACCAGATACACCTCTAGGAGGAACACTGCTGAATCGGACAACATACATGTTTGATAAATATTTGATAAATATTATATTACACTATCACCAGTAGGAAATGATGTGTCTATTTCTCCTAAGTGTAGCCAACAGGGGAAATTTTAATCCTTTTAATTTATTTGACAATATATTCGGTAAAATAATATTTATTAATTTGTATTTTATTTTTTAACTGTCATTCAACAGTTAATTAGTGATAAGCATTCTCTATTGTTATTGGCCATTATATTGTTATTTCCTGTTTATGACTTTTGCCTCCTTTTATATTAAATGATCATCTTTTCCTTTTTGATCTTGTAAGAGCAGTTTGTATCATAAAACTTGATCCATTTGTCAGAAATGTTTTTTTAAATAATTTTTTCTTGGTTTACAACTTATCTTTTAACTTTGTTTACAGTGACTTAAGGTGGTGTACTTGTGTGGTAAAATCATGAAACAAACCTAGAAACTATTTTAAAAAACCCAGTAGAATCAACTGTTGAAATTATAAACATAATTTTCAGTGACCCTATTTTATTGCATTAAGTGGATGGTCCATAATTTACTATCATCACATATTGTTGAATATCTGTTTAGATTCCAATATACTTTATTATAAATTATAATTCAATAAACATGTCTCTGTGTTAAATAAGGATTCTCTTTGAATGATCTTTACACACTGAAATTTGTGGTGTCACATCTTTGTTCAAAGTAAGTGGGTCATTGGTTTAGGTATAGAAAACTTATTGTCATAAAAGGCTTTTTAAAATGGCCTGTTTTAAAGAGCTAATGATTTAGAGATTTGTATGATTTTCTTTTTTTTTAACACCACCTGGTGTTTTCTTTGTCCTTTATAGCATGAAAGTTTTTGCAGCAATATCTAAGACTTTCCAAGTTACTGAGGTTAAAATAAGAATTACTATCCTAAAGCAGAATTTAGTCCACTTGTCTGTGATAGGGAGAAGACCTTCTAGAGGGATGAATTTGTCCTCTATAAACTCACCCAAAAATGATTAAGGATTTCTCTCTTCCCCCTCCAAATATCTGGGTTCCTTGATTTCCTAAATGATTGTCCAATATTTGGTAACCATTTCCTGAATCCTTGTTTCAATCTCTTATAATTTAATTCTTATAATTTGTTTAATCTCTTATAATTTAATCCTTATAATAATAAACTCAGTTATGGGGGGACAACATCAGAACAAAATTGAAGTGAAGTGTTCTAAACCTTCTTCATTTTTGGCGGTAGTGTTGGTGGTGTGGGGGCTAGTGTTGCCTTTTTTTTTTTTTTTTTAAAGCATCTCAAGTGAGCTTTTATAGAAACTTAATTGGTTATAAAGAGCTAGGAGATCTAGTAACAATCTCAGGTTGAAAAGAAAGGAAAGAAATGGACCAGAACAAAGGAAACATTTTCTAAAAATGTGCAATTTATGTTTTCTTGGCCACTTGATTTTTAGGTGAAGAAATAAAAAACTTGCTTCAGAAATGAGACTTCTGTTGTGACCAGCCATAGAAAGGACATGTTTTCTCAGCTATCTGGAGGTGTTGACCATAGGAGTTAAGTTGCCCTGAAAATCCTATTGAGTACTGAAGACCTCTGGGTGTAGCCCTCATTTAGAAAGGTAGAATGATTTATCAGTAGGCACTGTGACAAAAAGAATCAAACTACTGCACCAGCTTTTATGTTCAGTTCACAATCTGGTCTGTCAATAATGCATTTTATAAAGTATTTTTTTAAATGGCCATTGAAAAAACTCGCAGGTTCAATTCATTTACGAGTATTACATTTTTACTAAGCAGAGTGCCGGTGCTTTCTAATAAAATGCCCCACGGCAATGACATCGCGTCTTCATTCATCTAGTTTCAAACCTCCCAACTGCTTCCAGCTGTCTGCAGGAAGAGCGGGAAGGAAACCCTCCTTTGTAAAATTCAGTCTTCAGTCCAGTACAATTCGTGGTAAAGTGATTTCTAGGTTTCAGTTTACACAGTTGAGATTTTGTGCACAAAGCAAATTGGCCATACTCACTCATTGGGGGTGCCCTTCTGGCCGCAGAAATGGCCCTGGCTGTCCGTAGGATAGGTCACTCTCCTGGCATCACCATGCGCCCAGGCTAGAGGAACAAGAAAGGACAAAAGCTCTATCAGCAACCTCTGGCTGAAGGCAGTCTGATCTGAGATATTACAATGCACCACTGCAATGCACCCACCTCTCCCCTTAGCCACGGGAGATTATTGATTTTTTCAAAAAGTAATTTCTTAATGAAAAGTAAAATAAAATATGGATGAATCAGTCAGAAAGCACATTTCTCTTATTCTCTCAGGATTTGTCTGGGCTCTCGCCAAAACATGAGGTAATGCACTTAGAAAATGACATTTATTAAATTGTGAGTTAGAGGGCACACTACAAAAGCTTGCTTGGCTAAAATACACTTTTTGTAGGGTTCAAAAGTAAATGACTTCATAACAGAGCCAATAAATTTACAGCTAACAACATGATGCAATGCTTTTGGGTTGTATATAAGTGAAAAACATTTAATTTTTTTTTAAAAAACAGAAACTGCAAACCCCAATTCAAATTGACTAGTTCTGTATAATTTTGTGTGACATGAAGGCAAACAGAAGCAAATGGAGAGCTTATAAATTTACCATATTTTTTGTTTAATAGATGTACCATATGTTTTGTCTAATAATCTCAAGGCTTAATACAAATAGAAAGTATTCTTGTATTTCATGAAAACTGAAGACTTGATTAGATTTGCTATGAAGATGCGGGGCTTTACCTTTGACAAATGTATCACTCCTTTTTTTCCAAGAATTGTAAACTTGATTTGACAACTACATTACAAAAAAGCAGATAGTGGTATCTAAGGACGAGATTGGGTCATATTCCCTTAACTCTAGGTGAGTTTCTCTAATGTTGCCAACTTGAATAATACAGTTCCTAAAAATCTAAGAAATGCACTGGTCTTCTAATTGTTAATTAGAATTGTTAATTCAGAACATAATTGTTAATCTGAATTGTTAATTCAGAAATAGGCACCTACAGAAGCATTGTTATTACATTTTCCTATGCATATGGAAATGTATCTCTTTGTCCTCTGCTTCTTTCAGCGTGTGCCCAGCTATCTTCTTACCCACATTCATTGGATTTGACAGTTTGCATTATAATTCTATCACCCTTATGTATGTGGCCGGTGTGACTTGGAAAGATAAAATTCTGAAGGAGAATTTTAATATGAAAGAGGAATTTTTCACAATATTTTTTCTCATCAATCCAACCCTTTCTGTTCATGTTCGGTATCTAAGTTCCCAGAAAAGCTTCCTTTGTCTAATTCTTTATCCAATGTCACAGAGGCCAAATCAGTTTTATTTCTTAATACATTCTTAAGAAATCTGAACCATTCAGGCAGCTCTCTGCTGCCATATCTTCCTGTCTTTACTTTCCAGAATAAAGAAAATGGACTATAAATAAAGCATTTAAGTGACACCTAATGTTTAATGTATAATGTCTCGAGACACCATTTCATCTGTTTCTTTCCATGCCTTACTTTGTCACATTTTGGCTACACCTAAGAAAGGGAACTAATTTTATCTGACTCTATTTTCTGAAATAAGTTTCTTTTATCTTCATTCTAAATTGTTTTTTCTTATATAATTGTTAATTCAGAAATAGGCACCTACAGAAGCATTGTTATTATAGGTTATCATTACTGTTATTTATTATCTATAACCCTGAACAAATCAGTTATTTTGTGTTCCTAGTTTTCTACATTATTTCTAAAAATATGAGTATAATAATACCAAACCTGTCAGAACATTGAAAATAAGAAAGAAGATAAAGAAGATAGGGTACATAATATGGTGCTTGGTATCCAGTATGGACTCAGTAATGTTAGTTCTTGCCTTTTTCAGGGTTCTCCAAGCAAACTCAGAAACCAGGTCTTTGATCCAGGTAGTTTATTTGGGTGATAATTCCAGAAAGCTTCAGTGGGTATAAGGGAAATGATTCAGAGAACAGATTAAGGGCAGTCCTGGGCAGGTTAATGAATGCGAAAGTGCAGTGGGCAGTTGTGGTCCTACACTTCTAGGAACATCTGTGGGACTACACAGAGTGGCCCATTAGGGTCACAGTAAAACCGCTCATCACAAATGCGAGCAAACTCAGATAGGTTGAGGGGAGCTGGAGTCTGCTCTCAGCAGCATCTGCCATAGTTTTCCCTGTTTCGCCATCTATCAATGAATTTACTAAATAGTCATTATGTGCTCTGTACTAGAAATCAACACCAGTTTATGTCAGAATTCTCCAGAAATACATGACAGGAGAAGAATAAAGTTTGTAGGAGTCTTAGAGAAAGGTGGGACTTAAGAAAGCAAGCCTGCAAAGTTGTTAGCATTTGAACATGTAGCTGAGATCAGGGAAAGAATTACAGGTTGAAGAAATAATGAATTAAGAACTTCGTTGTATTAACCACTGACAACATGTCATGGGCTGTGCTATGTTTATTGCACCCATTGCTTCACTTTGCTCACCTTATTAGTCTCACAGCAATCCCAAGAGCTATTATGTTACTTAAATTTCCTACAGAACGGTGGCTCAGGACTTTATTTTTTAAGATTCCACAGCTTTTGAGTGACACAAACAGGGCTTAAGTTTAGGTGTGTTGCTCCCAAAGGCCTGTGTTTGAACTAGAAGACTACAGGGGCAGTAATGCTGCCTGCCAAGTGGTGGCTTAAGAAAAGAGCTTGTTCCTAGTGGGGAACAAACAACGAGGACATTGGCTAAACAAGGACCAGCAAATGCTGGACGTCTCAGTAGAAAAGGCAGTGATCCTCGCAATTTGGGAGCCTTTGTCATTTGGAGGGAAGAGGTTTGTGCTTGGGGAGAAGGAGATGTCTCCGTAGGGATCTGGAGATCCATGGACAAGGCAGGAGATGAAGATGGAAGAGTCCAGGGAAATGCTCCCCTTGGCTTTCCAGTTTTGAGCTGAGGCAGGTGGTCTCGTTTATGGAGCAGCCTCCGGCATGGAATCTGTGCTGCAGATGGTGCGTGTGTTTGAGCTAGAACATGAAGATCAGAGCTGAGAGCAGCAAAAGAAGAAGAGCAAAAAAAGATGTGAAGCAGCGTTTTGCCTTTGTTCATAGAGGGGTGACTCCTATTTTACTCCCTTTTTAAGAATTTCTGTCTTCGTGGAACTTCTAGAACAGTGCTCTCCATTATCGTAGCTATCGCCATGTCTTTTAAACAGTTTATTAAGTCCTTCAAACAGTTTATCAGAATCAAGACATGCTGTAAGTGCAAAATGCGTGTCATATCTTAAAGGCAGAATGAACAACAATAAAAGAATATCTCAATATTTTTTACATTGACTTCATTTGAAATAATATTTAGTTAAATAAGATATTATTAAATGGTTAGTAAAATCAATTTTACTATTTCTCTTTATACTCTTAAATACAGCCACTAGAAAATTTAACATTATCCATGTTATTCATGTTATATTTCTCCTGGATAGATCTTTTCTAGGACATTTCCTTGCAAATGATAAGGGCTTCTAATATAAGATGGTTAACAGTGCCATAACATCAATGGTTTGTATGCTAGCCATTCTCAAACCCATCAGAACCAACATATCATTTTTATAACAAATATTTTACAATGCCCCTTTTTCAAGCTTGAAGTAATAGTCACTGATAACGTCACTGACCCATGTAATTTTATTAAAAGTCAATATAATGCTCTATTGTAATATAAATGAGAAATAAGTAATGTATAATTAGACAGTATGCACATCAGTAGGCAAAAGCTCAAATACAACTAAATTAGAAGACAAAGTAAAGAAGTCAGGTATTTCAACCTGTAGGCAGAGTCTGTAAAAGTCATAGATACAGTTAATTGTAGGCAAATGTACTAGATCAGAAATTCAAAAAGTACAAATGGGGTAGTCAGTAGTAAGATTTTCCTAAATGAACGAAGCTTAGTAAATTCTAACAAAAAGCACGGAGGGAGAGGAAGAGGGGAGGGAAAAGGGATGGAAAAGAGAGAATTGAAGGGGGAAAATGATAAAAATAGAGCTTTTGTGAGTGGGAAGGGAACCAAGAGTTCAAAGGAGCAGGGAGGGAAGGAGGGGTAGGGCTCAAAAAAATTAAGAAGTGTTCTGTACATGCAGTAACTCCCACAACAAATGTAATCAGTATGTACTGCAAACATGTACTAATAAAAAATGAGAAACATAAAATCTTTCATATTCCTGGAGTATTTATTAAAATCATACAACAGCAACTTCACAATTTTAAAATGGAAGTTCAAGTTTCAAATATTTCAAAACAAGTTTTCACATACAATTTTGGGACATAAGAAAGTCAAGCACAATGCAGAGTTATTTTGGTTATGAAGAATTGCTTGAAATACTGCAAGATGTCTATCTTGCCTGACTTCTACCCCTAAATTTAAGTGTTAATAGCATTCCACCCCAATATGAAAACTGAAAAGTCAACTCAGTTTGCTCACTCTCTAGGTGCTGTTACTGCTTCAGGTGAGAGCTACTAGTCAGTGTTTATTCACACTCTTCAAAACGCCAAAACACAGATTCTACATTGCCTTTTGCCTCCCAGATGCTGTGGGGGGATGCTATCATGGAATTCTTTCTTATCATTAATCCATTTACTTTCACTCAGCTGATTCCCATTGGTAGTAGCTTTCAAATATGCCCATAAATTTTTTGACAGTCGTCCCTCAGAACATCATCCTGAACTCCTCACTCTTTGAATGTGAGCTGGAGTTAGCAACCTGCTCCTAATAAGTGAGATGTGACACAAATGACACTGCATGGCTTTTAAGAGTAGCTAGCAGAACACACTGCAGCTCCCCATTTGCTCTTTTTCCCTTGAAGATCTCTAGGTTTACAGGAAGCCATCAGACAGGTCATGAGGACACTCAGGGAATCCCCCAGGAAAGCTGACATGACTGTCAGCTTCCTGCCCATGCCCTGTGGGTGAAGCAGCCTCAAACACATCCTCTCCACAGTCAAGGCTTCAGTCCCAAGGCTTGGGCTGGCATCTTGGTAACAATGTCATGAAGAATCACCCAGCTGAGCTGGTTCCAATTTCCTAT